TCAGTTGGATTTGTTACATTTGCTTATGTGCAAATACACTTTGGAAAGTTATAAATCAATCTCTTTCTCCCTAGCTATGAGTTAAATAGGACTTCTATCCAGAAAATCATTGTTATTCTTAAAAAAATTGTTAATGGTAAATTCACACAAGAAAAAAAAATTCCTTTTATAATCCAAAATGTTTTGGCTTCAAATGACCCATAAAGGGTTGATAATCAATAAAAAGCAAATGAAAATAAATTACTGCTTCACATTGATCTGAAGATGATATTGTCTCTATCCTAAACTTGTATGTGGAAAAAAATCAGTTATTCTCAAAAAAAAAAAAAATTGCTTGATTTCCAGGTTCCTTCAGACCACCATGGTTACCATCTAGCTAACTCCTCACTCATTAATGTATTGCTAGTTTGTCACTGGTTGTTTTCTTGAAACAGTTCCACTTGATTTTAAGTTGACTGTTTGTCTCCTAAAATAAATCCTTCACTCCCTCACCATGCATTTGTTTTTTGATGTTATCAGTGTAGTAAAAGAGATAATCAGCTACTTAAAAAAAAAAGTTAAACGCTTTGTTGTGATCTGCGAAGAAAAATTACCGGCTTGGTTTATGAAAAAATCTACTCACAGGAATTCCAGAAGAATTCATTTCAACAGGGTTTTTTGTCGGTGATGGGTCAGTGAATCCCAAGACATTCGTTCAAAATTCTTGTTATAAAGGTGCTGGTTAAACTTAATATGATTAAATCTAGAACTCAGTGTCAGATATTTGAAAAAATGCATCAAGGAAGAATACCAGCATGAATTGCAGTTGTGACTGGACAATGGATTGCTGATTCTGTATCCCCAAACAAGCGAAGTTCAAAATTATGAATTTCAAGAGGTCTCATCCCGTTGATGGCCGTATGACAGAAGAACAAAGGGAAAGGTGTGGCCTGTACTAGATTTTTGCTACGGGGTGGTTTTGGCAACATTCCATAATCTTCTTCTCAGACAAGCAATATTGTTTCCGCTTTTCGAAGGAACAGCCGATTGCTTTCATCCCATCAGATGAAACAATCCACAATTACCCCTTGCATGGAGTATTGCTGCCATATATGGTCTGGTGCCCCTTCTGTTTGCCTCGGGGTTCTTGATAGGCTCAGAGGCGGATATGCAATATGGTTGGCCCTGCCCTGGCGTCTCGTCTACAGTCACTTTCTCACAGACGCGTCGTCGCCTCCCTCTGTCTGTTCTACAAATACTTTCATGGAAATTGCTCCAAGGAGCTGCATTCGCTGGTTCCCAGACGTCATGAGTTCAAGGGACCTACAAGGCTGACATCCCGCTCTCACCCCTTCACTGTTGAAACTCCTAAATGTAGCCGTCTCTTCTACTCTAATAGGCCTGTGGAACTCCCTTCCCTATTCCAGTTTCCCTGAGAGCTATAATCTCCAGCTATTCAAGTGTAATGTCAATCGACATCTCCAGTTGCCTTGATCTATCCACTACCCTCATCCTTTCTTCTATCACTCCTATCTGATCTTGCTCTAAATTTTCTGTAACCCCTTGCATCTTAGTGGCTTCCCGCCTTGCTTGGGGTGAAATGCTTAAAAAAAAAAAAAAAATACTTTTTGGTAATTTTTGCTTTGGCAGATCGCACACAAAACATAAACTCTTTTTTCAAGGTAGCTGATTATCTCTTTCACTACAGAGAGTGAGAAGATTGCTGATGAAGTAAACTGAAGTGAAGAACAGGTCAATGGCTGGGAGCTACACCAAAAAAAGAATTCTTTGGAATCAAGAATTAACTCCTTTTAAAAAAGTAACGATTTGGTTTATATATATATATATATATATATATATATATATATATATATTATATTTTTGTATACAGCAGTTTTAACCCTTACCACTACTGTTATAATCGAATGACACTGGGATCCCCTTTTGGAGTTTACAGCATGTGTTAGTAGTAATTTAAATTTCTAAGTTTTGGTCTTCAGGGCTGGCACAAGGTCTTGGTCAGGAGCTTTTGGCAAATGATGTGGATTCCAGTAGCAGTGATATGGGGATTCTTCAAGTTGTCCAACCTTCCAGGTTATATGGTGTCCTGTGTCTGGCAGGTGTGGGGCTGACCAGCGTCTGTGGTTCAATTATCTTCTACCCTTAGTTATCAACCTTTTCTAAAATCCCGTATTTTCAAAATATGTTTACTTGAGTAATCTTTCAAATTTAGGGTTTGTCCAGCCCCCTTTTGAGAGTGGTCAGGGGATTCAAGCTACTCCTTAAATCCAACTTCCTTCACTTCTCATCTTGCACCATTGCTCCATATAGGTGGTACTAATCTCTCTCTCTTTCTCCCTTCTTCCACCTAAGCATCCAACCTCAGCCCACTCTAAGGGCTGGTACAACTCTTTGTGACGAATCTAAATTTTTAGAATGGTTAGGAGAAAAGGGGATTTCCATTAATTAATATTTTTTTGTCATGCTGGTTGTTTTAGGTGATTTTCCCCAAGTCAGAGACTGGACCATATCCAAAATAATTGGAGCCAACCTCAAGAATTGTTTTGTTCATTTTCAGTCATCATGGATGGGAAAGAAAATATTCTCAACATCTTTGGTAATAAAAAAAAAAACAAACTATCTTTCTCTGTTTATGTATTTCTCGGTAACCAGGCCACATAACCAGTTGCCTTTGGTCACTCCAGGGCTAGTAATTAATTTTTCTTTATCAACTTGTCTCCAAAAAAACTCCAAAATAATGTTGGCCATAAAAATGTTGATGAATATTACAGAAATTAAAATGAATGAAGCCATCCCCAATCTTCGAGGCTAATCTTTTTTTGTAGCGATGTTTTTCTTCTGGGTGACCGACTCAAACCAGATGTTTTTCCTGGCTCTTTGTCCAGAACAATTTTAGATGTTATTTTGGTGACCACCCATTTTCTTTATCGACAACATGTTTTTCTATTTTCCAGGACTGACATCTTTGATGATACATTCTCTTTCTTATCAGCAAGAAGTGGGGGAAGAACTGGTAGTCTTGGATTTGCACAACCTTAAAGAATTCCTTCTAGTTAAATTTGAGTTCAATTCTCCTTGGAACTGTTTGTGATTTCATTTTATTATTTTGAAACATAATTTTTCAATGCATTTCATTTTTAATTTTCTTCTCGGCTTGTCAATCCACTTTCCTGCAAATTTCAACAACTCCCTGCAGCCCCAGTGTCACAATAGTAGAATTACCGGCAATACATGTTTGCGGTGGAATTACCGGCAATACATGTTTGCGGTGGAATTACCGGCAATACATGTTTGCGGTGGAATTACCGGCAATACATGTTTGCGGTGGAATTACCGGCAATACATTTTATCTGTAGCTGAAGGCATACAATTGTGTTCAAAATATTTAGATTTTGGCATTAAATAACCCATACAGGTGTTGATATGCCACCAAACAAAATCAGCCAAACTAAATTATCATTAAGTAATGCTCAATATAAAACTATTAATATATAATAAAAGAAATGTGTAATATTCCCACATCTTTTTGATAGTATAGTTTAGTGATTCTTAATGTTTATTTCAATGGTGACCCAAATTCTTATCTAAAGTCTATCATGGAGATCAATTTTCTTATCATTATGTCTGTCAGTTATATGATACATGCTTAGGCGATCATGTATCTTTTGATACATGACTGACGAGGCAGATTTTTTTATTTTACCGCAGTAGGTTACCATTTCTTTCTGTGGTAGAACAGTTGCCATCCAACGCTATAGAACCCCGTCTGTCCTGCTGTTTACCCATAGTTGGGAGGAGAAGAGGATTCATACCTTTCTCAAGGGTATTAGCACGCAAGTAATGGATTCGACTGGAATTCGAACTCAGCTCTCCAATTCCTCAATCCAAGCTGAATCCATTACTCCACCGTGCCTCCTATCATTATGTACAACATAAAATTATTAAAGTATAACAAAAGAAATATGTAATATTTACACACCTTTTTGACAGTGTAGTTTGGTGGCTCTTGGCCTTTTTTTTTTCAATGGTACCCCAAAATCTTATCTGAAGTCTATCATGGAGAATTTGCTAAATAAGATTTGTTCTAGGTATAATTAAAATAAAATAATTGCAATTTACATTATTTTTTGACTAATTAACAACAGATTTTCTAAATTTATTTTTTTCAAAATTCAATCTTGCTTGGACCAAATCTCATCAAGTTGAGCAAATCTCAGTGGGGTTGGAACTTTGCTTGATTCCACTTTTCACTCCAGTACTCACTTGGACAAGTCTCATAGACACTCCTTGTAGAATATGGGGTCACAGTTCTCAACACGCTGGGTGTTACTCCTGGGATTTCTGCAGCAAGTACGTATTTATGGGATACTTACTAGCCCCATAGCTAACTGGTTTCAGATTTGTCCTTTTCCTAGACTGTTTGCCAACCAAGGCTGAAGAGCTCAGTCTGTCCTATTATTTAACCCACAGCTGGGGAGATATGAATTCATACATTTTCCTAGAGTATTTGCACAAAAGAGAAACACAACAGCCCTGAGTGGAATTTGAACTATGCATGCCAATCACACTTTCAGTGACATTAACCACTACACAATTTACTTTTCTTTTAATCATTGCTTGTTGATTTACACAATGTGGGAGTGAACTTTGGCTTGCTGATTCCACTTTTCATGCCAATGACTAGTACATGAATTCACCACTAGTGTTTCCATGAAACTAAAGCCAAATTTACTCTCTACTAAATGTACTAATTGATGTCTGTTCTTGTTCTTTCAGCATAAACTAAAACCTAGACAACGACATTTCAAAAGCAATTTGCAGAAGAAGAAGCCAAATACTCCTTAAAGATTAACCAAAGCAGTGCAAACCCAGGGATCATAATGTTTCCTTTTTTTTTTTTTTTCTTTCTGCCTGATGCTGGAACTTTAAAAAAAAAAATGTTTACTCAGCTTCTGGTCAAACCACCAAACTTCAATCTAAAGCCTGTAAATATTCTTCTAATGGACAAATTTATTTTTTTTTCTTTTTTGCCCCTCTTTCTCTCTCCAAGTTGTTGGGACATGATCTGACTTTTGAGAGGATCACTATCGTGATTAGTGGGTTTCTAAAGAATTTGTTATAATTTGCATAGATGAATTACAATTAATTAATGTATATTATTGTATGATAAGCCAAAAAAAAGAAAAAATGTTTGATAATTGGGAAGCAGAATGGAACTTTCTTAGCAACTTTCTGGTTAGGTTGTGGTGGGGATGTCTCCTTTGTAGACGAGTTTGAGTGCTTCCTTTCTGTAGAATCATCCTTATCAGATCATTGCTCTGCCCTTTTCCACTGCCAACTGGAAGTACTGATTGGTGCGAGAGGGTAAAGGCAGGTACTCTTTCAACTTTGATACATACTGATGACTGAAAGCCATCACCTTGAGAAAGTTGGGTGTCGTGTTAGTTGGAATAAACTTGATCTGTGCTCTGGCAACAAAAATTAGCAAGAAAACAATTGTAACACACACACACACACACACACACACACACACAATGTTAAAGGAAGCCTTGTTTATATAACATTCCTAGTCTTGATAGGAGATATTAAGAAACAGTTTTGTTATTCTTTGTTATAAAGTTCTAACACTTTTTTTGTTGGGAATTATAATTCTTTATGCCTAAAGTTGAACACATCTGTGTGTATGTGTATGTTTATGTAATGGCTGCAACTCGGATTCAAATGATATCATTGCTTGATTTTTTTCCTCAAATATGTTAAGTGTGGGTGTAGCTTTTTCGTCCTGCTAGGGTCTTAATTCTCTTGTGCAGATGTGGCAAAATTGGGCACTTCTTGCAGTAGTTATTAAATTTATATTTTGGTTAAATTTTCATATGGCATTTTAGTCCATCAACTGAGGCCCATTCTTTTCCACACTATAGAAATAATGTGTAGTGAATGTACTGTTTTTGATGATTTTTGAAGCCTGCTCTTAAACAGATGTGACAGCATTCATTACATGCTACCTCAAAGTCTTTGCTAACATTCTCAGGGAGATTAAATAATATATGGGTGTGTGTGTTTTTATATATATATATATATATATATAATCATAACTGAGACCTTGTTTGCTTAACATTTTTAGTTTTGATAGGAAATATTTGGAAACAATATTTTTTGTTAAAAACACCTGATACTTTTTGGGTGGGAATTACAATTTTCCTAAAGAAATTGAATTTATATATATATATATATATATACATACATACACACACACACAATATAGTCTGATGATCACCTAAAGTGTGAAATTGAGTCAATAGAAGTGATTTCTACATCCACACTGATGTTCACATGCACACACACACACACACACATATATATATATATATATATATATATATATATATATAAGCATATTCTTTTCATTTAATGTTTTGGGAAACAATACTATCAAGGTATGTCTAGCTTTTTAATAGGTGTTCCCAACTTCTGTTGTTGTTTTATATGGGAATTAAAATTGTTAAACTTTCCAAAGTTCATTTTATTTTTAACAAAAAGATATGTCTTCTTACAATCAAATGTAGTTGGATTCAAGTAAAATAAACTTTAGAATGTTTACCAATGTTCACACACACATGTGTGTGCATGTATATATATATATATATATATATATATATATATATATATATATATATATATATATATGAGTGTGTTTGTGTGTATGCATGTGTGTTTGTGTGTATATAACAATGATTGTGTTTTGTTAAATTACCACAAAAAGAAAGGGTTCACCAGTTTCTAGCTCCCCAACAAGTGAATACCATGTCCATGAAAGTACATTTATGACCAAATAATTTGGTGTGTGTGTGGAAGCAAGTATTTTTCATGTGTGTACATTAAGACTAATGTTTATGATTGTGTGTATAATATACAAAAGGGAAGACTAAGAAAATTTGGTTCTACTTTCCAGGCTTCATTTTAAAACATGAAAGTAACTCTCTCTCGGCCTGTCCCTCTCTCTCTATCTTAAGGCCTGTCCCCTCTCTCTATCTCTAAGCCTGTCCCCCTCTCTCTATCTCGGCCTGTCCTATCTCTCTCTCTATCGGCCTGTCCCCCTCTCTATATCTCAACACCGGCCTGTCCCCCTCTCTATCTCTCGGCCTGTCCCCCTCTCTATCTCTCTCGGCCTGTCCCCCCCTCTCTATCTCTCGGCCTGTCCCCTCTCTCTATCTCTCGGCCTGTTCCCCCCCTCTCTCTATCTCTCGGCCTGTCCCCCTCTCTCTATCTCTCGGCCTGTCCCCCTCTCTCTATCTCTCGCCTGTCCCCCTCTCTCTATCTCAGCCTGTCCCCCTCTCTCTATCTCTCGGCCTGTCCCCTCTCTCTATCAAACCTGTCCCCCTCTCTCTATCTCTCGGCCTGTCCCCTCTCTCTATCTCTCGGCCTGTCCCCCTCTCTATAAATCAATAGCCTGTCCCCCTCTCTATCTCTCGGCCTGTCCCCCTCTCTCTATCTCTCGGCCTGTCCCCCTCTCTCTATCTCTCGCCTGTCCCCTCTCTCTATCTCTCGGCCTGTCCCCCTCTCTCTATCTCTCGGCCTGTCCCCCTCTCTATCTGTCCCCCTCTCTCTATCCTGTCCCCCCCTCTCTATCTCTCGGCCTGTCCCCCCTCTCTCTATCTCTCGGCCTGTCCCCCTCTCTCTATCTCTGGCCTGTCCCCCTCTCTATATCTCAGCCTGTCCCCTCTCTCTATCTCTCGGCCTGTCCCCCTCTCTCTATCTCTCGGCCTGTCCCCCTCTCTCTATCTCTCGGCCTGTCCCCCTCTCTCTATCTCTCGGCCTGTCCCCCTCTCTCTATCTCTCGGCCTGTCCCCTCTCTCTATCTCGGCCTGTCCCCCTCTCTCTATCTCTCGGCCTGTCCCCCTCTCTCTCTCTCTCGGCCTGTCCCCCTCTCTATCTCTCGGCCTGTCCCCCTCTCTCTATCTCTAAGCCTGTCCCCCCTCTCTATCTCTCGGCCTGTCCCCCTCTCTCTATCTTAGTGGCCTGTCCCCTCTCTCTATCTCTCGGCCTGTCCCCCTCTCTCTATCTCTCGGCCTGTCCCCCTCTCTCTTTCTCTTTCGGCCTGTCCCTCTCTTTCTCTTTCGGCCTGTCCCTCTCTATACCTTGTGTGTACATGTGTGTATGTATGTATATAAACTTGTCTGTAATCAATATTTGATTACTAGACATGAGGTGTGATTTGTTTGTTGGCTTTGCAATGAGGACATTTTAATAAGCATTAAAATATTAACAAAATCAAAGCCTGCTTCATTTTTTTTATTGACTCACATTATATCGACATTTTCTAGAATAAGTTTCATTTATAAATTTTGCATGTGTATGTGAACGGAAAGAATTTTTTTTGCCAGAATCAAGTTCTGGCTAAACTTTTTGTGTGTTTGTGTGTTGCTTTTGTTCATGCCTGTGTTTCCAATTCATGCTTTGGAATTCTTCAAGGAAATGGAATGGGTCTCTTTTCTAGAGAAATGGTTATCAGATAAAAGAAATTGCACAGGCTCCGCTCTGCTAATTCAAAGGAATTAAGGCTATACAGATTGTGCAGAAATTCACACTGGTTTTCTTTGTTCTGCAGGAATGGAATTGGAGATCACCCTTCCCCCCTCTCTCTCTCTCTCTCTATCTATATATATATATATATATATATATATATAAAAGGCTCAAACACTAATATTCCATAGTTATAATTACATAATATAAAACAGAATAGAAATCCAAAATGACTTTATTCAAATAACTATTTTGGCCTACAAGACTTACTTACAAGCCTTGTCAACTCAGAGGTGTGAACAAATATTTCTTCACACCTCTGAGTTGACAAAGCCTATAAGTAAGTCTTGCGGGCTGAAATAGCTATTCAAATGAGGTCATTTTGGATTTCTAATCTATGTAATTTATATGTTCTGTTATAATAAATACATTGAGCTCTTTTTGTAGATCAGTTTTAATATTTTATATTATTAGGATTCACTTAGATTATATACCAACGGATTATTTTATATATATATATATATATATATATATATATATATATATATAAATAAAATGGTGGACTCTCCGTCATATTCGACTTATGAGGGTCAAGCAGCTAAGTTCCTAGGAACTCACAGCCCAGACACCAGCGCATATGATTTGATTATAGTGGTGAAGGCTTTGTGCAGAACAATCCACACTTTTTGAAGGGCCAAATAGAGAGACCTGGTGCACTATGTGCCACAAGGACCCCAAAAGACCCTTTGCAGGTTTTCAATTCAGAGTTGTCCTTCTCCTAGACCAGTTGCCATCTAAGGCTATAGAACCCAGTCTGTCCTGCTATTTACCCATAGCTGGAGAGAGAAGAAAATGATTCATACCTTTCCCAATGTGAATGTAATGGATTCAAATGGAATTTGAACTCGGCTCTCCGATTCCTCAATCTGAGTTGCTATCCACTACTCCACTGTGCCTCCTATTATTATTATATATATATATATATATATATATATATATATATATATATATATATATATATATATATATATATATATATATATATATATATATATATTTTTAAAACTAATTTAAATCAGAGTCACAAACTCACATCTATCCAACCAAATATGTTAGCTCTATCTCTGATATTGAGCGCTTTCTAATAAATATTTATTTTATATAATATATAAATAATTATACATACATATATATATATTTATTTATATTTATATTTTCATATATATATAAAAATATCAATTATTTTAAAAAATATGATTCTTTGCTACATAAAGAGTTCTAAGGTTTAAAAACAATGAAAAACTTCAGTATAATTATTAAAATTAAATTGAATTATAGTATCAAGCTGTTTCTTTTCTATTTTTCTATATATTTACTTACACACACACACATATATATATATATATATATATATATATATATATGTAATATATGATTTCCAGATGAGAGCTGTTTCCTCTCCCTTCGCATTACTTGTGATGGCTTGTGCCTCATTTGGTTAAAATACCCACTAAGATGACTCTTGGGCCATATTTATATATGTATGTAATGTGTGTGTGTGTGCTTAAAATATGTTATCTTTCTGAAGGACGAGTGATCAATATTAAAAGTAGAGCATTTGTTGACCCGTGTTGTACGTTTGTTAGCTATGTGTGGACATATGAAATTGACACTGCATGTTCAGCATCAGTTCACATGCCTTAAGTGATCATCAAATCTTGTATCTGATGATAGCTTAAGACCTGAAAGAATAGTCACAGTCAGGATTTTGGTTTTAAAAGTACACATCTAGTTGCCATAAAATTTAACATAAAAGCATTGGGATTATCATCCTCTCTCTTCCTCTTACTTTTCTCTATCCCCCTAGTGGCAGAGATGGCTGTGAATCAGATAGTTTTATTTAAAAGGGCCATTAACGTGAATTTATTTTTTGGTGGACATCTCTCTCTGTATCTATCTTCATACACACTTAATTTTTTGTGCCACCCTCATTTCAAAGGAATCAAATGTGTTATGTAAATCAATGTGAATTATCTGTATAAACCAAACCAGCTGTCATTGTATCTTCAATGTACGCTCAAAGAAAACTGATAATGTTTCTGCAACGTATTGACTGAAAGATTGTACCAACGACAAAAACAAAACAAAGAATGCATTTGATAATCCTTAAGAATCTTGGCATGATAATGACTCCTCTAAAATGTCGATTCTTTATTTGATTGGACTCTTGTCCATGTTCTTCTGACTTGTCTTGCTGCCGTTCCTGTTGAGTGACAGATAATTAATTTTTATTTAATATATACAATAAACACTTACATCTTTATGTATATCTACATATATAAATATATAGAGAGGTTATGAGATTTATGTCATGTAATTTTTTTTTTTTTTTTTAATCATTTCACCCCAAGCAAAGCGATAATGCCACAAAGACACAAGCGGGTCTACTGGGAGTGAAAGAGAATGAGAAGACTTTAGAAGGAACCGGAAACCCAATTCTAAACGGGAAACAAGAAACAAACCTCTACTGTTCAAAAAACTGGGAAGGAGTGTAAGTTTTGGGAATAGGTCATCCAATATAAGGCTCCAGAGCCACTCAAGGCAGAGCATTAATCTTAAAATGGTTACGATCAACGAGGCATGCGTGAAAGAGGGTGTGGTAGGAAGTGAACGTTAGAAGGATAGGTAATGATTTAACCCTTGCTTTGAAGAGATGAAGATTTTAGTATTCAGGAAAGCGTTCATGTGGGAGCCTCTTCCACAAAGTAGCAGTTCTCTTTGTTTGTAGGAAAATTTGAATGAACATTTACATTTGAAATACGGGGGTAAATGAAGGTGATTCAACTCAGGGGAAGTAGCATGCCATGTTCAAGCCATAAAGATCTGAACAGGTGGAACTAAAGAATGGAGCTCTTCTGAACATTTGCCATGGAAGTAGCAACAGAGTAGCGATGTTGCATCTGTAGGAAAGCGGTTGCAGAGTGGACAATAAGTTTCCCCCACCCACCCCATAAACAATTTTAAACTCTATCAAGGTTGGAATGTAAGGTGAACATGGGACAGCTCCAGCCCAGATATTCAGTAATACTCTATAACAATTTTTGGTCTAATCTCCCCACTAGCAGGAAAGGATTCAGGTATTTTGGATTGATCGTGAGCCAACCATTTTCTCAGAACCATTAATAATGCAATATATGGTTATATATATATATATATATATATATATATATATATATATATATATATAAAAAATGTAAATAAAATCCTAATGTAGCCAGGAAAATCTACCTATTTGTTTTCACCTAAACGGATCTTCAATTTAGCCAGTCACCCTGAAGATCCATTTAAATGAAACCTAAAAAATTTTTAAATTGGCTCATTTTTGGATTTTATTTAATTTACCTCTTATCGTATTGAGCACTCTACGTTTTTGTTGTCTTTATAAGACTTGGTTTTTCCTTTGAAAAAGGACTTCTTTGTTTCTGACGATTTTTTCGCCTTGTAACATTTTTAGTTCTTTTTTTTTTTACTTTCAATTTTTTCTTGAGTACCAATTTGCTCTCAGGTGTCTACTTTTGCTGTTGTTGTTTTCCGTGGTTTTTCTGTTTTTTTTAATAATACTATTTATATAATATATATATATATATATATATATATATATATATACATATATATATATATATATATATATATATATATATATATATATATATATTATATATTAAAATAAAAGATACTGCAAATGTTTTTGGTTGTAATGTGGATTTTTTTTTTTTTTTTTTTTTTTTTATACTTTTTTTTCCCATAATTTAAATAATATTATGAAAAATAAAACATAATATTAAAAAAAAAAAAAAAAATTAATACTAATATTGATAATTCTTTATATCTCTTTATAATATAAAACTTTTCTCTTGCTGGAAATACTATAACTTCCTTAAATATATATATATATATATATATATATATATATTATCATAGTACTTATTAGAAAGTGCTCAATATCAGAGATAGAGCTAACATATTTGGTTGGATTGATGTGAGTTTTCACATCACTCTAACCAAATATATACACACACACCACTTGACACCCATTAAGTGTTCAAAGCAGGTGGCTGCATTGAGATTTTATCATTCATTGTGAATGCATAAAACTTGGGTTTAAATGAAAATGTCATGGTAGTGAAAATTGATTTTGAGGTTGAATTTGAGAAGCCAGGTTTTGTTTTGTTTTCTCAATTTTAAATATTTTGTCAAAATTCCTTGTGATGTGGTATTATGCATTAACAGAGTTGGACATTTTTTTAATTTTTTTTTAAGTCAATTCGACAATTTGGGGTGGGGAGCTAATTTAAAAAAAAAAAAATTGCCAAATGATGAGGAAACTGAGGATTAATATTTTTTCTGTTAATTTCTTTCACTGCAATTAAAAAAAATGTTTTAAACATTTTGAGTGCAATAGAACTCTTACTTACCACATATATTGGCATAC